ACACAATTCCTGCATCTCCACACACATCCCTGTGCTGGTCAGGCTTCCACTTCTCATTGTCCCTGCTTGGTACAGCCAAATCTGCTTTTTCAGTGTGTTTACCCAGCAAGGAGCTGTTCACTCCTCCTACCAGGATGGAAAAAGGCCTACAAGAGTGTTCCAGAGGCGATGCAGCGGGACCAAAACACAGCTGGGAGAGGGAAAGGGAAGAGCAGGACCAGCCAGCAGGTGGCTAAACTGAGGCTGTTGTGAAGCTCTAGAAGAACAAATCCAAACTGGGAAGGCTCTGGGAAGAGCTTTTCCAGACTAAACTTGTCACTCCTCCTCCTGCTGGGCAGAGTGAGCCTGGGTGAGCCCTCACCTTTTGAGCCTGTTGTAGGTGACGTCGTTGGCCAGCTTGAGCAGGCGGAAGGAGCGCTCGTGGTCCATGGCCAGCTCCCCATCCCGGGGCTCCTCCAGGGCCACCGCCACTGCCTTGGGGGTGACACGTGTCACCACACCCGTGCACAGCGGGTCCCCCTGCCCAGCCGACTCATAGAGCCCCACGATGTCCCCTGCAAAGGTTTGAAGGGACAGACAAATGTGTCACTATCCAGGGAAGTTGCTATCTTTAGATAGTTGCACTATCCAGCTGCCCCATTCCTGGAAGTGTCCAAGGCCAGGCTGGACAGGGCTTGGAGCAACCTGGGCTAGTGGAAGGCATTCCTGCCCACAGCAGGGGTGGGAGTGGGTAAGCTTTAAGGTTCTTTCCAACCCAAACCATTCTAGGACTGCATGATCTCTTTCTCTGGAAAGAAGAGAGCGTCACTGACCAGGCCCAAAGCTGTTGGAGGGCAGCTCAGCGTCCGAATCCCACTTCCTGGGCTGGAATGTCACGAGGAGACGCCCGTAGAGGCCGGTTCTCTGGCTGGTGACCTGGAGCTTGAGCAAGCAGACGCCCCTCCGCTGCAATTCCTTCAGGGAGACACTCTCCTGCCATGCCCTGGGAACCACACACGGGTGGGATCACCACGGGGTGAGGCTGAGGGTCACAGCTCCAGCAGACAGAGCGGAATGACCTATCCCTGGCTCCCGGCACCTCCATCCTCATGGCTGGGTGTCTGTACCGCCAAGGGCATCTAAGGGGACGGCTTGGTGCTACGGGGGCGAGTCCAGCAGGATTCCCCATGGATCAGAGCCCTGTGGGCTGGGTTTCCTAAGGGGTGAGCTGGTTAGGAAGGTGGGATTCCAGCAGCATTCCCACAGGTGACAGGAGGGCTTCCTAGAGGTGACAGGGGGCCCCAGGGGAGGGCTCCCTCTGTGTTTCCCATGGGTGACAGCAGCTCCCAGGTGAGGGTCCCTCTGCGTTCCCCACAGGTGACAGCGCTCCCGTGTCCCCCCCACAGCCGCTGTGGCCGCTCCGTAACCCCC